TATATTTATTATATATATATATATATATATATATATATATATATATATATATATATATATATATATATATATATATATATATAATTTCTAGTATATATTAATCTTCACTCCTTATTCAATTAGCTTTCGAATTCTGCACGACATGTGACTGACTATGGTCAATAACTTATATATTTCTAGGTTTGCAGGATTTGACATCATGAGCCTTGCTAACAACCACTTGAATGATTATGGAGAAAAACCAGTCAATTTTACCCAAAATATTCTAAGCAATGTTGGAATAGAGAGTTTTGGCTTAAATTTTGGTTCATATCACTCACCGCAGGTATGTTAATCAACTACTTGTGCTGTACGCTTTAAAACGATTGTCAGTAAATGACAACATTCTCAGAACAGCAGAGTACAAACCGCACGTTGGGGCAGCGGGTTAATATCGAATGTACACTTTATAAATTCGTTATCGACAGTCATATAATTATTTCTCTGATGAATCAAGATTTTAAGGGCCCCCTCTGAGAGAAAAAAAGAGAAGAAAGAAGAGACAATGCCGTACGTATGTTGCCAAGTTTTCGCAAAGAAAAGTGTTTTTACACCATACGTACATGTATTTTGCGATATAAGATGCACTCTAACAGTGTTAAAGTTATAAAGCACAACAGCCTGTTTTTTAAGGCTCATTATTGCCTCATTTGCCGGATATGATATTAGAACTCGCCGACAATATTGCCTAAATACTGCATGAAGATCACAAAAAAATGTGGTTAAATATTTTGGTTGCAACACGGAGATTTCGTAAAGATCCTATTTTTAAAATAGATTATTAAAAAAGTTTAAAAAAGTTATAAAGATTAGATTAGGATTAGATTAAGATTATATTAGGGTTAGAGGTAGGATTAGGGCTCAATATGTGTCGCGAATTTATTGTATTGATAATTTCGGACGTGTTTCACAATTTACTCATAATTCAAACACTCATTAATAATGCATAAACTTATTGGCAAATCATGTCAACAATAATATGTCACGTGCAGTGGCTTTAAACCTGATAAAACACTCTTAATTAATATTCTTTATATAAAGAATACTAATAAGACAGTATATCTATCATAGTGTTGTCCTCATTAGTTTTCTTTATATAAAGAATACTAAGAAGGCAGTATATCTATTGAATTTGTGGTCGTGTTTGAAGCCGTTTAATAAACTTGCAGGTCGTGTTTTATTAGGTATAAAGCCACTCTCGCTGCGCGCTCGTGGCTTTAAACCTAATAAAAGACGACCTGCAAGTTTATTAAACAGTACTTCAAAAGGTGGATCTCATGGTGCGTTAAATATATTTTGATATTTTCCGAAAACTGGCAAAATCAGAAAACTGGACAATATACTCTATACGTACGAGTGCGAAAATTTTGATTATTAGTATAGGTAATAGCATGGTTTCGAGTGCAATTTGGATATAACATGCACCAGTCAGTTTTTCAAAGACCTCAAAATAGCACGAGTCCGAAGGACGAGTGCTATTTGAGGTCTTTAAAAAACTCACGTGTGCATGTTTATCCAAATTTCACGAGAAACCATGCTATTACTTATTAATAATTTACATAAAAATGTTTGAGACAATTGTAGTTTTAACTTACGCGTTTTTAGCGAACATTCTACTGGCAAAGTTTCTCTGGCTTTTTTATATCACATTATACAACGCTAACAGCTTGAAAATTCCACTCAACTATGTAATTTTTGTTAGTCTTGTTTAAGGTAAATGCTTTTCCATTTAAAAATAAAGATAAAAGCCATATTTTCCACGCGAAGGCAACTTTTACTTCGTATACCGCGGCGCCATGTTTGTTTTGTTTTGAAGCAATCTGTGACCGTAAATTCTTTAAACTAAATTGCTTTAAACTGATTGGTTGATTTAATCATCACAATGTTTTTCCACCAATCAGACAAGTTTGTTACAGATTTTTGCACTGTGATTACAAAAAAAATGCACTGTGATTACAGAAAATTGCACTGCTGTTTGGGATTAACTGCACTGAAATTAACCAATCACAGTCAGTAATATCTTTATGTATATTATTAGGAAAGAAACATACCTAGCTAAACTATTAATTCCGTACAATTTCCGACGTAAGAAATTAAACCAATCGAACCGAATAGACTTTTCCAGTAATAGACAGATTTAGGGGCCGATTACATGGAGCATTTTCAACCCCGGGGTTGAACTCAGCCCTGTTTACCGGGTTGAAATTTTAGCCCTGTCTCTAATACAAAACTCTATCAAAATCAAACGCGCGATTACATGACAAAATTTTCAACACAGGGTTGAAGTTTCAACCCTGCTTCAGCTATAGCAGGGTTGAAATTTCAACCCCGGGGTTGAACTCAGCCCTGGGTTGAAAATTTGTCATGTAATCGTTTCAACCCATAGGGCTGAAATTATCATGAGTTATTCGAACATGCGTGGTTGTGGCTAATTAATACAAGAAAACAAAATAAACAAAATTTTTTACTTCCGCAAATCGATGCCGAGAACGTATAATAATTACTGACGGTCATAATAACCTATTGTTTTCCTCTGCATTATATCAGCGAATGTCGAGAAATTTTAGCGTTCTTCTGAAAAACGGGGAGTGGTCTTTTTTGATTGTAGGGAAATTCCCAGGGGTAAATGTTTATACGGGCTAAAATAGCACACAGCATTATTAAAAATAATGCAGCGTGCACAAAGCATTATTAAAAATAATGCAGCGTGCACGCAGCATTATTAAAAATAATGCAGCGTGTATCAGTGCACACAGACATTATTCGCAATCCTTCGTCATCCTGACAAATACACGCGATAACGTGAACATCTCAAGATGAGAAGTTGACAGTGCTAAAGGCCCCTCATACGATATCATCGGGCGCCTGAAGCACTGCCAAAACGGTCACTGTGAGACCTTTCAGCTCAAATTTATAGAGAAATAGTTTCGTTTGCGCTTGTGGGATTTTATTGTAGATATACGCGTGTGCAGAACACACCATAAGTTCTATTCCTGTGTTTATCAGTTTATTAATACGCTCTTTGAATTAACCTTATCATTAATGATAATATGTAAACTAGAACACTATAATTGACCTCCGTTTGTGGAGATTTTAATTTAGGCCGATTAATTAAACTGAAACCTGTTCTATCACGATGCATTACATGCATGTCCTCACAAATGTCTAGTGTAACGTTGGATAGATTCATTGCCATACGGTCCTAACAAGCAGCAACGTTGGTAGTCTTTCAGTCGAAAATAATTACTTTTGATTCGGGTCAGTAATTATAAACGGCCGCATTATTCGAATAATGCCGTTGGCCTCAGTAATTATCTATTAAGTATAGCGTTTCAACCCCAGGGTTGAAATCGTCCATGTAATCGCAAAAAATGTCAACCTGGTTAACAGGGCTGAGTTCAACCCGGGGTTGAAAGTTCTCCATGTAATCGGCTCCTTAGCAAAGACGACCGAAGCTCAAAGACAACCTGGATGTCGTCATAACATTTATTGGCGCCAACTTCCGTCAGCTTCCCGTTTGTGACGTCGTGTTGGACGATTTCTCGACGTGAAAATTTTCACGTCCCCTCTAGAACGTCAGTGGAGATTTATGCTTCTTTTGAAAAATATATGAGAGTATGCATCTTTAGAGGCTGTCTCCGTAAAAAACTCCAGGTCAATATGGGGCTGAAAAATAGATTTCTCTCATACTCTAGTATTTTGCAGATCTATCCTTGGGAACAACTAAAATCGATTTCATTTTACTCAAATTTAACTTTCTTTAAATTATTTTTGGGGGCGATTGATGTTTGATCGGCTGGTAACCAACTTGAACTCCGAATGAAGGCAAACTATCGACATATTTTCCGCGCTATTTTTTAAATCAAATTCATATGTAAAATTTCAAAATTTTTGCTCAGAAATATAGACTTATCCTTCTATTTTCGTTGGTGATATGACTTAGACTAGTATACTTATCAGTAGTATGCTGACTTGCTCCTCAATTTGACGATATATAAAAAACGGCCTCATCTTTCCACATTAACAACTTACCCCAGTTTAAATACAATCTCGTAAGCTCCTAATCCATCGTAACTGTAACCTTAACATTAACTTAATCATTGTGACGTCATTATTGTAAATATGAATAAATCCTTGTTTCTAACCCTAACTTTACTGTGCGCGAAACATGAGAATCTAACCATACACTATTTTTTAATCTTTCTATCCTACCGTTACTCTAATATCTGTGACATTAAACTACAATAGTATGTGTGTACGTGTACCCATTTTTGGAACCTTTTCATTAGACCACAATATCAGCCAATAATTATTTTAAGAGCACACAGATTTTTAATTACACAACAACGATCACTATTAAAGACCACAAGCATTACTTCAAACTATCACAAGACCACAACTGTACAGTGAGGGCGGACTGTGTGTTATGTACTATTTAAAACGCGATCAGGAGTGCTTTATCAGATATAAAACACGAGGGCGCAGCTCGAGCGTTTTATCTGATAAAGCGCGGACTTTTAAATGGCTTAAACATTAAAGCCCGGTTCACATATACCTACTTACACCTGCGGAATGTCGGCGGGCTATTGAGTATTGTCGTTGTAGTACTTCAACCAAATAATTCACAAAATAATGTATGTATCAACAACTGCTCTGAAAAGGTGTGAATAATGATAGCGACGACATACGGCAGGCATATGTGAACCAGGCTAAAGAAGGAGTAAAGTAAAGTGCTTAGCTAATATTTTACTTCGCTTGAATATACTTCTTCGCCAAATTGCCTTTCTTAGTTTCTTTTGATTTTGTTGAAACGAAGTCGTTTAAGAACTGCTGTGAATACCGAATAACATGGTCATGGAGCAAAACTTGCACACCAAGGACGTCAAATTAAAGTCACGTTACTTCGAAAACTACAGGGTGTATCAAAAAACCTGCGCGCAAACACTATAATTTGCATAATTCTGCTGCCTACTAGCATTTCAATGTCGGTGCAACTTATATTTTGCTCCTGTGATTTGAAAATACATTCTAATTAACCCCGTTGATAGGGAATAGAATAACACAAAGTTATTTGTAAAGCAGAAAACTAATTATTAGTTCGACTACGAATGGGTCAACTATTGTGTTTACGCACGCTTGGGATCAATTAGTTCTGAACCATGCAAATTCTAAAGACATTGTACTGTACAGGGTGAGTAAAAAAACTGATACCTTTGATATTCAAATTAGCCGCAAAGGTGTCAGTTTTTTTTACTCACCCTGTATATCAAAGGTTTGCAGGTCAGTTTTTTTATACACCCTGTAGAGTTGAGGACATTGTTTTTAATGCTTCGACACATGCATAACATAACAAAAGCATGATCAATTATAAAAAAATATTCAATGCACACAAGCTTCAATCCCATTCACGATCCTACTGACTTGCTCCTGGTTGCGTTGCATGCTAAACAATGCACATGCATAAATTAAATTATATATGTTGTGTATACAGTGTAGCAGTATGCTTTTTGGCAGCCAAAGTACATTTAATTAACCCATGAAAGAGCACGCAAAGCATCGTTCTTTTAAAACGCCATGCTATAATATAAATATTTAGTTGGCAGTTGCCGGACTGTTGATGCCATGTCTCCGTGTCAATTACCTTATAGTCAAATCATATTCAAACAAAAGGTCTACAAACTAAACCGTGTTTAAATGATAGCAAAGTGAAACTGATGGACAACAATCGAGATGAAATTGCTTCGCTTTTAATACTTGAAATGAATGCTTTGAGACGTGCAAACACAAGACTAAGACCTAAGTGCTAAATGAAATAAGAAAAGACAAAAGAAAATAAGGCGAAGAGCAGAAACGCATAAATTCGCTTTCCAAGCGTTATAAATTGTTTGTAATAAACAAATTCAGTATATATAGTGTAAGACCAGCCAGAAATCAACAGACCATACAATGAATACAAAATACACCAAAAGAACTGCATCGTTATAAACTGACTAATGAGATTCCCCGTATTTATACAGTAGTATCATGCATGCAAAGCATTCTGGTCGGTTAACAGCAATGTATTGTGGTCGGTTAACAGCAGTGCATTCTGGTCGGAGACCGAGAAACGGAAGTAGAATCTTACTTTCAGACCCCAATACGAAATTTCTAACTTGCTCGCTCGCTTCAGGCTCCTCGCTGCGTCAGCAATAATTACTCTTTGGTATAAAATAGAAAACAGCGCAGTTATTGACGCTCCTGAACAGATAACGGATATC